CCCAGACATGCTCAGCTATCTTGATTGTTCCCATCAGTTGAAGCCCTCACCAGAAGCTGACAAGATGATGGTGCCATGCTCTTGGACTTTCTCAGCTTCAAAATTATGAGCTAAAATGTATCTTTTTCCTTTATAAGTTAGTTTCAGGCAATCTGAGACTATTAGAATTGAGACCTGGGTGTTACTATAGTAATACCTGAAGATGAGGAAGCAGCATTCAAACGGAGTGACACAGACTTCCATAGTTGTGAGGTGAATGCTAGAACTGGGGTTGATTGCTCTAATGGCATTAAGGGGAATTCTGGGGAGAGCTCAGAGACAGGAAACACCAAGGACAGTTTGGGACTGAAGTGGTTGTGCTCATGGTACTGACAGAAATGTGGCTGCAGGGCTGGAGAGATGGCTCAGTGGTTAAGAGCACTGGCTGCTCTTCCAGAGGACCTGGTTCCATCCCCAGTATGCACATGGCGGCTGGCAACTGTGTGTCATTCCAGTTCTAGGGGATCAGTCGCCCTCTTCTGACCTCTGCTGGCTGCACTACACAGGTGCATTTACATGCAAGCAATACATTCATACACATTAAAAAAATGAATAAAATATTAAAAAAAGAAATGTGGCTGCAAAGGCCATGCTGATCTGGTCTTAGATGGAGATGAGAATGTCTTCCTGTGATATAAAGGCTATCCTTGTCACAAAGTTGCAAATAAGAAGCCCCTCTGTGTTCTCTCTCTGCCTAGGGCTCTGTGGAGGGCAGAACTTGAGGGTAACATCAAACTGCCTATGCTGCTGACGACTTCGGAATCTCCACGGTTGTCCTTAATAATGTTCCAGATGCAGCAGCAAAGGGATGTCTAACAGTGGCATTTATAGTTAAAAGGGAAACACAGCATTGAAATTGTGGAAATTAGGGCTAGAGAGATTGTCTCAGCCATTAAGAGCACTGGCTGCTCTTGCAAAAGACCTGAGTTCAAATCCCAGCACCCACACAGCAACTAACAACCATCCATAACTCCAGTTCCAGGGGACCTGACACCCTCTTCTGGCCTTCTCGGGCATTTCAGGACATGGGTGCACTTACATACTTGCAGGTATAACACTCATACACATAAAATAAAAAATAGTTTTGAAAAAAAGAAATTGGGAAAATTGGTAGCCTGGCCATGTGAAGAGCCAAAAGCACAGTCAACATGGATTGCTAAGTGTGTGGTCATGCTGCTGTTTGTAAGAGAGGTTGTGTGTGAAACAAAAACGAACAGGTCTGACTCTTCAGAGCAATGGGAAAAAGGCCCTAAAGGCATTCTGGGAAGCTTTGCAGCTGCCTCTCTCATCATAGGCCCAGAGTCCTAGAAAGGAAAAGTGGTTTCAAGGGACTGACTGTGTTGGGAGTTTGGGTCTAGTGGAGGGTATTTGGTTCACAGGGCAGAGTCTTTCCAAATGAATAAATGTTTTCCTCATGGAAATATGTTAGTCATCATAAGAATTTGACCTGCAGTTTTCCTTTGTGCATGATTGCATGAGCCTGCTTTCCTTTGTTTTCTTGTAAGTTGAAGCAGCAGAAAGTACCCATTAGGAGCCAGAAAGATGATGGTACCATGATCCTGGACTCCAAATGAAATGAAACTCTTTTTTAAAAAAAAATTATTATTTTTTTATGTATGAGTATATTGCCTGTATGTGTGTAAGTGCACCTGTGTCACAAAATGCCCTCTGTCAGAAGAGGGCATCAGATCCCCTGGAACTGGAGATACAGATGGTTTTTAGCCTCCCTGTGGGTGCTGGGAATCAAACCCAGGTCCTCTGCAAGAGCAGTCAGTGCTCTTAACCTCTGAGTCATCTCTCTAGCCTGGAAACTTCTTACTTTATAAATTACCTAGGGTCAGGTTTCCTGTTACAGCAACAGCAGACGGGCTAAGACAATTGCCAAAACTCACACAGGAGGAAGAGTTTGCCATCGATTGGTTTGCTTGTTTGGTTTTGCTTGTTTGGTATCGATATATAGCCCTAGCTAGCCTAGAACTTGTTATGTAACCAGGTTGCCTAGAAGTCATAGAAATCTTTCTGCCTCTGCTTCCTAAGGGCTAGAGGAATAGATTATTTAAATAAGGCAATATTTATTAAATAAATATAATCAGTAATAATCTTTAAAAACAGAAATGCATGCCCAGATGGGTCCTCTGATGTATTGTACTAAGTACTGAAGGAATAAAGTATATCAATTCCCTACAGTTTCTTTCAGAAGCTAGAACCAGAGAGTGTATTTCCTAACCTACTCTATGGGACCAGAATGACCAAATAGCAAAAGCAGATGAGGATGTTATAAAACGCAAAGCAGCAGGACAGCACGTCTCATGAGGAAGACGTGAAATCCCTCAAAGAATATTAGCAGATAAAATCCAACAATGTATACAAGTGCAAGGCTGACTCATCCTTCAAAGACAAATAAAAGACTAAAGAGAAGGCATTATGTAATTCTATTAGTGGATTCCGACAAACATTTGACAGAATACAGCACCCATTCATGATAAAGACTCAGCAAGCTGGAGGACAGAGGACTTGTTTGACTTGATAAAGAACATCTATCAGCCCTTATTGGCAGCATCATACTTGATGGCGGAATGCTCCAGAAGCTTTCTCCTCAGATGAGGAACAAGCAAAGGTGTTCCTTAACATCTCTATTCAACATTGTGGTGGTTCGAATGAGAACATCCTCCATAGGCTCCAAGTATTTGGACATTTTGCCCCCAGTTGGTGCCCCCCAGTGGGAGGCTTTAGGAAGTACCTGTTTGAAGATACAAATGCTCCTTTTCTCCTCCGCCATCTCTGCCGCCATGCCTCCCCACCATGACGGACTCTTACCCCGTTGCATACCATAAACTCAAACTCTTCAACTCTTCCTTTTACTTTTTAATTTTAATTTTTTTGGTCTTTTTGAGACAGGCTCTCCCTGTAGCCTCAATCTCACAGAGATCTGCCTGCCTCTACCTCCAGAGTGCTGGCATTAAAGGCATGAGCCACCATGCCCAGCTAATTCTTTCTTTTTATAAGTTCCCTTGGTCAGAGTGCTTTACACAGAAAAAACAAAACAAACAAACAAACAAAAAACATCTAATAGAAACATCATACAGAAAGCCCTGGATAATGAAAGCAGCAACAAAATACAAAACAAAACCAAGAAAACTTATGTAGAAATGTACAGATTACAAAGAAACTGTCTTTGTGAATGATATGATTGTCTTCTCCGGAAATGTGAAAAGCCGAAACAAAAGTTTTAAAACTAATAAGCAAGGAGGCTGGAGAGATGACTCCGGGGTTAAGAGCACTGATTGTTCTTGTAAAAGACCTGGTGTGGCTAACAAACATCTGCAATTCCAGTTCCAGGGGATCTGGTGCCCTCTTCTGTCCTCCTTGGGCACTGCACAACGTGGGTGCACTCATACACATAAAATTAAAATAAATAAATTAATTAAAAATTTAAAAGAACTAATAAGCAATTCTATAATACAGTTGTAAGATATACAAAAGTTAGTCACTTTCTTATATATCAGTAATGAATATTTTTGTCTTTTTTTTTGAGGCAGGGTCTCCCTGTAGCTGAAGCTGGCCTGGATTCTCTATGGAGACCAGGCTGGCCTCAA